TGCAGGAGGGTCCAAGATTATAGTCTCTGTGTTACTGCGAGTGTTCAACTAGGTCATTCACAACAATGACAGACAATCCTATAAATTCCATTCGTGCAGAAATATCAGTCTCTATCTTTCCTCTCCTTATTTCTAGGTTTCTTGGGACTAGAACCAAATTTTCTTGTAAAGAACCACCTCACTCCTGCAATCAGTACTGTGGCACCCACACAAATGGCACAAAATAAGAGTTTGATAGTTTTGTATTAAGAATCTTCAGGGGAGGCGGGGTAGAGGGTGGGAAGGGATAGACTGGGATTTCAAAATTGTAGAATAGATAAACAAGATTACACTGTATAGCACAGGGAAATATACACAAAATGTTATGATAAATCACAGAGAAAAAAATGTGACAATGAGTGTGTATATGTCCATGAATGACTGAAAAATTGTGCTGAACACTGGAATTTGACACAACACTGTAAAATGATTATGAATCAATAAAAAATGTAACAACAACAACAAAAAAAGAATCTTCAGTGGGCAAGATTGAAGGGTGACTTACAACAAACAAAAACTCTTGTTACTCCCCTACTCAAGTTCTTGTGACAGCTCAGTATTACTCAGAGGATCAAATACAAACTGCTGAACCTCACATTCAAGGCCCCCCAAAATATGGTTCTATGCCATAGGCTTAATCTGTGTGCCCCTCTACTCTCCTAAGTAAACCTCTCAGTAATAAGAGTCAAGAGTCAACAATAAGAGGGAGAACACAAATGACAGATTAGATTAAACCACCATTCGGCAAATATTCACTTCTTTCACGTTGCCCAAAAAGATACTCCCCCAACCCACTGGTGCTGAGCCTGGATACAGGACTTACTTCAGTGGTCAATGAGACTTCCGCCGATTTGACAGGAAAAAAGCTTCAAGTGTATTTGTGCTGTTTCACTTGCCCCTTGAGTTCCTCCCTTTAGCCATAAGAATATGCCTCAAGGAGCTGCTGCTCCAAGATGGCTAAAAGACACATGCTGCAGATCTGAACCCACCAAGCAGCTTGGAGACAAGCCTAGATTAGCTGAACCCAAGATATCCAAAAACATGTTCACAAATAAGCACTTAATGGTATATAGCTCTGTGTTTTGGGATGGTCTGTCGCATTTCTACAGCAACAGCTAACACATTTACACTTCATGCGTGAGAACACTGACATCTAAGGGGTTAAGTTACTTTTTTCCTAACCAGAGATTAAGTAGCAATGCTAGAGAGAACTCTTTAGTAAACTTTATTTCCCAAAGATGGTTGCCACAAATTCTCCATCCCCCGAGCTCTTTCAGAACCTGACACTACCCCAGTAAGAGAGACAGTGTATGTCACCTGCCTTGAAACTATGTGGGCCTTTGCATCTGCTAAAACTCACACAGTTAAGTGGAAGTGGCACATGACTTCTGAGGCTCACTCAGAAAAGGTAATACAGCTTTCAGCAGGCTCTCTCTCTTGAGAATGTACCTCTGAAACCCCAAGTCACCACAGAAGAAGCCTGGCTGCCCTAAAGCCACCATGCTGGAGAGAACACATGGGAAGACTATATAGACAGAAATGCCTAAGGAGCTTGTTCCAGCTCCCAGGGGTTTGAGTCTCCCTAGCCTAGGCACCAGACATTGGAGTAAGGACACCTTCAAGATGACCCTAAACCCGTTAACTACAACTACATGAGAGGCTCTGCGCAAGAACTGTCTGGCTGAGCCCAGCCACCCCAGTACTATGAGAAATTACAATAAAACAACTGTCTTAAGGGACTAAATTTGGGGGTGATTCCTTATACAGCTATATAGACAACCAAGTAAACCCACATCCAAACCAGAGGCTTCATGCAGAGTCAGAGTACTAGACTAGAAAGTTGTTTCAGACTTCCTTATCCTGAATAGAATCTGAACCAGATCTGAGAAGGTTCATGAAGGACAAGTAGAAACTTCCACTTGGAAATGTTGTTTTGAACACATGCTTTCTTCTCCAAACCCTGTGAAAGCTCTGCTAAATAGTGGTAAATAAATTTACAAAGGCAGAACTATACAAGGGTGACAAGACCAGGTATAACAGGAGAGAGATGCCAATCAAATTCTTTGAAGGCAGAAAGCAAAAAGACAAGTAACAACTGAATTAGGTTTTTGTTTCCTCTGACCTCCCAAACTGGTAGCCATGTGGAATGGTCAACAATAAGCAAGCCAATATGTATTACAGTATTCTAGAAAGGCTCAGTAAATTGAGACACCAGGAAAGGTTGAAGATGGAAGAGAGGCGTAGGGCTGAAACCAGTTGAAGTTTGTTTCAGGAGCAGCCAGGTCCCAGACCCCCTTCCCCACCTCACACCACAGGCTTCTGATCCCTACCCAACCCAGCAGAACCCACTACTCTTTGGAGAAATGAAAACCACAGAAGTTGCAGACTCAAGAGGCAGGGATGGGGTCTCATTCTCTAAACAGGGAAATTAAATAAAAAATTATCTATTCCTTCTTCCCTTGCCACAGCAATCCTGAAGATATGCGTCCCAGATGGCTGAGTTGTGAGATGATGTGCTACCCAGCCTGTACTGCACTTTGCATGGATAAGAAATAAATATGTGTTATGCTACTGAGTTTCTGGATTTATCTGTTATCCTAAGATAACCTAGTCGAGCGTTACTACTGCATCAGTTTGACTGACAGAAATTTCAGAAGAAGGGAAAATATGGAGTTATCAATAAAAAAGGGTATTTCCTAGGATGAGTTTCCATAAAACACACGTTCCACAGAATATGTGACCCAGTAAATTTTAAAAGATCCACACCAAGGCACATCATTATGAAATTTCAGAATGTTGGTGATAAGAGAAGATAAAGATCAAGTGGCCCAAATTATAGGGAAAGTAAAAGAAGCCTTTACACAAAGCATGTTTTGCTTTTTACTTGTTTTACCACAGGACTAACAAAACTTTTGTAGCAGCAACCTAAGAACATTTTCTGCAAAGCAACCTAGATCCAGGCACTGTGTCAGACATATAAAAAGATATGACGTGGTCCTGCCCTGATGGGTCTCACAGTCCATCAGGGCAGCCAACCGTAAAAACAAGTCACAACAACACAGGATATACAGTGAGTGCCAGAAAGGACACATGGGGAAAATATAAGCTGTGGGAATGCCTCTGTTAAGTTCTTAGTGTCAAAATCTTATTCATGTTCACTGGGAAACAAGTTCTATAAACTGGAATATTTCTCTCAGGGCTTTTGGTAAATGACAGAGAGTAGTATTATCAGGTTACTCTATACTGATGGCATTTTAGAAGAACCACACTTTTAACGAGCAATAAGAAGAGATTCCACGATCAAAAAATCTTCAAGGAGAATGGTTAAACTACTGACCACTTCTAACATACCAGAGGGAACCCTGACAAGAAAAGGCACATCATTAGCAGTGGTTAATTCAAGTGTTATCGGCAGAAATTCCATCTTAACTTCATTTTCACTTACTCAGAACTTCCTGAAAGTCTTTATTTAGGCAGAAACTTTCCATGACTAGCCTCTTCCAAAAGGTGAATCATTTAGGAAAGTCTGAGCTAACTGGCTCAGCTGGTTATGTGATAGGGAAGGATAAAAAATACTATTTTTCCTCATTCCCCAAAGTTAATAGGCTACGCATTTTTCAGGTGGGGAAGAATTGAAACAAAAAGGTAAAATTCCAGAATTTAACAATTAAAGCATAGTTAGAAAAAAACTAAAAGACTAACTTGGTTCTAACACTACCTTATGCTTATACTTACAAATTCTTCCCAGTCATCACTAGCTCTTTCTCACATTTCTTAAAGATGTAGTAATGCTCTTAACTTGATACAAAGACAAAAAGAAAAAGCAGAATAATGATATCAAGAGATTAAAAGAAAC